ATACTTTCTTTTATAGTCAGTTGTGTGTAGTTCTGAAGTATATAAATTCTCCAGATTATTGGGTATCCTAACTCTTGCTCATGGATGTGCTTTGATTTGTGTGACTGATAATTTTTATTTATAATATTGTAAGCTTTTTACATTGATAATATTGTGAACGTAATTTCTCCCCCACTGTGGGATTACTATGTATTCTCTGGAAAGGCTTTATGTTTGTCTCTGCCTGGTCTCTGATGTTTCACAGCCTTAAACTGATCTTCGTTAATTTCTTGGCTTTGGCTTCCTGAATCACATACATAACTGAAATTCAAACTTCATTCCCATGTGGATGTAGGTTGTTTTATTTTATGTAAGGAGAGGGAAAGATATAGCCAGGAATAGTAGTCCATGTGAGCCACACTGTCACGTTTTCAGAGTCTTAGATCTTTAAAGGCCCATCCGAAGTTTGATAGCTTAGAATCGATTAAAATTACTTAAATCTTAAAATACTTATTTTTTAGACAGTTGCTTTCTGTTTTTAAAAGTTTCTATAAAACCTAGTTTTTAAGACATATTAAAGCTCAAAGATATCATTGGTAGAAGCAGAGCTTCCAATAAAATAATGTTCACAGAAGTACATTCCTATAACATTTTCAGAAAATTTTAATAAATATACTATTTTTAACTGTAGCTTAAACTGTTATGACCTAGGTATTAAGATACAAAGATTAGTAGGACCTAATCCTTTCAATGAGATAAAGGACTAACTGGGAAGAGAGATAAAGAGACAGACAAGTGTGGAACCAACTCATTCATTTGTTTATTCATTTACTCTTCATTCAACAAAATTGATTATCTAATATATGCTGGGCATTGTTCTAGGTGCTGTGGATGTAGCAGAAAATAAAACCTGCAAAAATGATTTGCATCATGGAGCTTATATGTAGTGTGATTCTAGTAATATGAAGAAAGTTCTCTGGAAATTCAAAAAAGGCGTATTAATAGTTTGGCATTTCTACCCTCAACTGTGTCTGCTGTCTTCATGTAGACACCTTTTGTTTTATTTTTTTCAGAGAATAATCCTCAGCTTTTTCTAGGTACTGGAAGGTGGCATCATCTGACTGGGTGAGGGATAGCTTTTTAAACAGGCTTTCAGCCAAGATTTCTAGTTTTAGCTCATCTCATTACAGAGGTTCCTGGTGCTGGCAATTCCTGAGGCTTTCTGTGTTGTTTGGTGTGAACTGGATTGCTGCTTCTTGGTTTTCCTTATTGGTAGTTTAAGAATCAAACCTTTTTTTTGAGACGGAGTCTCCATCTGTCGTCCAGGCTGGAGTGCAGTGGTGCAATCTTGGCTCACTGCAAGCTCCGCCTCCCAGATTCATGCAGTTTTCCTGCCTCAGCCTCCCGAGTAGCTGGGACTACAGGCGCCTGTCACCACGCCCGGCTAATTTTATGCATTTTTAGTAGAGGCTAATTTTATGTATTTTTAGTAGAGACAGGGTTTCACCGTGTTAGCCAGGATGGTCTCCGTCTCCTGACCCCGTGATCTGCCGGCCTCGGCCTCCCAGAGTGCTGGGAATACAGGCGTGAGCCACCGCTCCCAGCCAGGAATCAAACTTTTAAGGCTCTTCTATGCTAGTATCCACTCTCTATTTTCTGGTTTTCAGAATTTTGTTTGTTATTTCCTTTTAAATTTGTTCTTATGAAATCCCTTTACTATTATTTTAATGATTTTAATGAACTAAAATTGAATGTGTGTGTTCAGTCTACCATCTTTACCTGAAAGTCTAATTGAATTGCCCTTAATCTTGTTAATCTATAGTAGGTATAGGAAATCTTTTTTTTTTTTTTTTTTTTTGAGACAGATCTCACTCTGCCTCCCAGGCTGGAGTGCAGTGGCGCGATCTCAGCTCACTGCAACTTCCACCTCCTGGGTTCAAGCGATTCTCCTGCCTCAGCCTTCTGAGTAGGTGAGATTAAAGGCACGTGCCACCACGCCCAGCTAATTTTTGTATTTTTAGTAGAGATAGGGTTTCACCATGTTGGTCAGACCGGTCTCGAACTCCTGACCTTGTGATCTGCCTGCCTCGTCCTACCAGAGTGCTGGGATTACAGGTTTGAGCCACCATGCCTGGCCTAAGAAATCTTCTGCCATCATATGTGTGTGTAAATGTATATATATTTAACTTATCACAAAACATGAAGAAGATAGAATGTTATAAAATGTTGGGTAGGAGGCACAATACCTTTGTTTCAATTTTATCTTTAGTATACACTTGCATTGTGTTCTTTGAGCAAGCTACTTTATCTACTTGAAATTCAGTTTTATTACTTGAAAAACAGGAATGTTGGCCAGGTGTGGTGGCTCGTGCCTGTAATAGCAACACTTTGGGAGGCTGGGGTAGGCAGATTGCTTGGCCCAGAAGTTCAAGACCAGCCTGGGCTACATGGCGAAACTCTGTCACTGCAAAAAATACAAAAAAATAGCCAGCCGTGGTGGCACATGACTATAGTCCCAGCTACCCAGGAGGCTGAAGTGGGAGGATCACCTGAACCTGAGAAGTTAAGACTACAGTGAGCCATGATCGTACCACTGCACTCCAGCCTGGGCGACAGAGTGAGACCCTGTTTGAAAAAACAAAAAGAAGAAGAAAAGAAAAGAAAGAAAACAGGCCGAGCGTGGTAGCTCATGGCTGTAATCCCAGCACTTTGGGAGGCCGAGGAAGGCGGATCACAAGGTCAAGAGATCGAGACCATCCTGGCCAACATGGTGAAACTCCGTCTCTACTAAAAATATAAAAATTAGCCAGGTGTGGTAGCATGCACCAGCTAAATGGGAGGCTGAGGCAGGAGAATCGCTTGAACCCGGGAGGCAGAGGTTGCATTGAGCTGAGATTGCACCATTGCATTCCCGCCTGGCAACAGAGTGAGACTCTATCTCAAAGACAAAAAAAAAAGAAAGAAAGAAAGAAAAGAAAACTAGGAATTTTAATGATACCCACCTTATTAGAGTTATTGGTTAAGACCAGTTGATAATTTCAAAGCACTATACAAGCTTTAGGGGTTTTTAGCACCACACCACTTATTCAGAATTAATTTTATTTACAATACAGTATATCTGAGAGTTAAGAAATAAGTTTAAAAAGTCTGTGAACAATTAAAAAATAGATATTATATATTATCTTGTGAAAATCCATACATTTCATTAGTAGACCCTCAATCAGATGCAGAATCAATTTTTATTCTGGTTTTACCAGCTTTGATATCTATAAAACTGGATCATAGATCAGTTAGACATGATAGAGTCTAAAGTTCAAGCTAGACTTGATAGAGTACAAAGCAAGAAACAACTTTTTTCTTCCTCACCATTGCCCTTTAAAAGGACTGTGTTGACGTTCCTATTTATTTTATTGGATAATATCTTGGTCATGTCACATAGCTTTTTTTCACTCACTTTCAGATATTAATAGTTTTATGTTTAGGTACCGAAAAGTCTAGTCTAAACTAAATAGAAACTGCAGTCCCTTGTTTAATCTAAAAATTTTCCCCTTACCCTGGTTTGGCTCTGGTTTGGCTCTAGAACCTGTTGAGGCTCAGGAGACATGTTTGCTGCTTCTTTACTCTGCTGCTCCCTCCTCTTCTAATCACTAGGCAGCTTTACAGTGGGGTTATATAAGGGACAGGAAAGGTCTTACTCAACTGGTGCAGTGGTCATTTGGCTTTGATGTTTCTTGGGTGTGGTAGATGCCCAATGATGGCTCCTAGTTGACTGCTTTAGTCTTTGCTTTTTAGGGCCTTCCCTCACTGGGGACTTTCCGTGGTGCCTTTTACTGATTCAGGAGGTATTACTTTAGCTGGCTGCTTATGACTCCCCTTTAGCTACTTCTGGTGGTGTGTACCCCCAAAGACTCTCAGGTAGGGTTATCTGACCTCTCCGAGAGAGCCTTTTCAAGACAACCAGCCTACCTGCCTTTCATGGAATCTCCTTCACCCTGGAGGAACATGCAATCTTGTGGAAGTAGAATTTGCTCGTACTTTAATTCTCTTTACTCACTCTAGCCTTTCCCCTTTACACTTTCCAGGCAAATATCAGGCTCTGGTCTTTTTGTTCTCTAAATTCCAAGACATCCATATCCAGTTGTTCTCTCTAAACTGTCTCACTTGACTTTGAGGAGGAGAACTAAATAAAAATCTAGGAAAATAAGATATGGTGGTAAATTTATTTTCTGCTCACAAAAAGGAAAATAATCTGATGGATTAATTAAGAATTCAAATTAACAGTCTTCCTCCCCTGCAAGTTCAAACACTGAGTGTACATACAGCTTAATAAAAAATGAATTGTAGTCATGCTGATTTGGGATTGGCATACTTTATTTGGTCACTGGCTGAATCTACATGTAAATTTCAGGATCCTAATTTGTCATTCTCATTGAATTATTTTCCAAGTTAGGTTATGTTAGTCTAAGTATATACCTTTAAATGTCCAGTTTTATATTTGCCTCATGTGATTGGTCATTAGAGCAGGTTAGTTTGCATTAGGAATTTTATCCTCAGTGTATCTGCAGCTGCACCTTTTGTTTTCTTTGGTTATGACCAAAGAATGAGGTAAATTGGCCTCATTAACAGGAGAACCCTATGACTTAAAAGAAAAATATATTATCTCACAGTTCTGGAGGCCAGAAGTCTGAAATCATGGTGTCAAGGGTTCATTCTTTCTGGAGGCTCTAAGGGAGATTCCATTTCATGCCTCTCTCCTAGCTTCTGGTGGTTGTCAGCGATTTTTAGCCTCCCTTGGCTTGTAGCAGATCATTCCAATCTCTGCCTCCATCTTCACATGGCCCGTGATATTTAGTCATTATCCAGAATATAAAGTTTAATCTATAAGCATGAGTTAAAAATTATAAATGTGTAATTTTAGATTGTTAAAGTTTTAGAAAAGGCACGAAAATAGTAATATGAAATAAGAAAAAGCAAACTATTTCTTAAAGTATTTGACTCAGAAAATTTTCTCCTTTCTGTAGCTGTTGGAAAAATTAGAGGAAAGCCTCTTCCATTACTCTTATTTTTTGAGGCCCTCTTTATCACAAGTCATGCTTTTCGATGTCCTGTTGATGCAGCTCTAACCCTGGAAGGAATCAAATGTGGATTATCAGAAAAACGGTTAGATTTAGTTATCAATTGGGTTACACAGCAAAGGTAAGCAAAATTAAGCTTTTAACTTAATTTTGACATTTGGTTAATAAAGTTGTTTGTTCTAAAAATATTAATAGTTTTATCAATGTGTTACTTGAACATTTACTTCAGGTCCCTATGCAATTAATCAGAAAGTGTTTAGTGGTCGGGCATGGTGGCCTATGCCGCTAATCCCAACACTGGGAGGATGGCTTGAGGTCAGGAGTTCAAGACCAGCTTGGCCAACATGGTGAAACCCTGTCTCTACTGAAAATACAAAAATTAGCCAGGCATGGTGGCCAGGTGCAGCAGCTCATGCCTGCAACCCCAGCATTTTGGGAGTCCAAGGTGGGCAGATGACTTGAGGTCAGGAGTTCAAGACCAACCTGGCCAACATGATGAAACCCCATCTCTACTAAAAATACAAAAATTAGGCAGGTATGGTGGCACACGGCTGTAGTCCTAGCTACTCGGGAAGCTGAGGTAGGAGAATCGTGTGAATCAGGGAGGCAGAGGTTTCAGTGAGACGAGATCGCGCCACTGCACTCCAGCCTGGGTGACAAAGCGGGACTCAGTCTAAAAAATATATATATATGCATTTAGTTTCCTGTAGAAATCTAATTTTCTTAGCAAATACACAACTACATTCCAAATAACCTTATTTTCATATTGACTATTATCGGGGTGATAGAAATTGACAAGAGTTATCAATAGACATAGGCAAAGGAGAGGAGATCCTTTAAAGTAACATTTGCGGGAAGATGGCTCCCATCTAGAGCAGAGAACAGAACAGCATCATTTCAACCAAATGTTTGGCTTTTCTGGTCTATGAACTTTCCTCACTAGTTACACAGCTGCAAAGGGTGAAAATCCTATCAGGTCATCTAAGAAACGAATCCTAGGTTTTCCTGTGAGCTTTTTTTCTCCTCGTGGATACTTCTGGCTATAAGTAGAACAATCGCTATGCCTGCTGGCTTTTCATAATTATGAGCAAACCATAAAGCAATTGTAGGAATGATTGTAAGTACACACTGACACTGGGGATATACATATTCATATACATATCTATCACAATTATAAGCTTGGGAGCAAGTAAAGACCTTTCATAGAACATTCCTGTGTGAATACCTTGGGATAGGGCAGAGTCAGTCTTCAATTTTCACACAAAGAAGAACCACATCTTGGCTGGTTGCAGCAGCCCACATCTGTAATCCCAGCACTTTGGAAAGCCAAGGCAGACGGATCACCTGAGGTTGGGAGGTGGAGACCAGCCTGACCAACATGGAGAAACCTTGTCTCTACTAAAAATACAAAGTTAACTGGATGTGGTGACGCCTGCCCGTAATCCCAGCTACTTGGGAGGCTGAGGCAGGAGAATCGTTTGAACTCAGAGGTTGCGGTGAGCCGAGATTGTGCCATTGCACTTCAGACTGGGCAGCAAGAGCGAAACTCCATCTCAAAAAAAAAAAAAAAAGAAAAGAAGAAGAAGAACCCATCTTAGGGCCTGAGAGCCTATTCCCATGCACCTAAAATTACCATGTTTGGCAAAATTATACAGTTTATTCAGACATTGACTTTTTATTTAGAAATGTTTTGAATTTTGTTAAGCCTTGAACAAAACAAGAAAATCAGTTTTGTTAGCTTATAAAGAAAATTTGAAGGCTGGTCATGGTGGCTCATGCCTGTAATCTCAACACTTTGGGAGGCCAGGGCAGGAGGATTGCTTGAGCTTAGGGGTTCAAGATTAACCTGGGCAACATAGGAGACCTCATCTCTATGAAAAAAATAAAATAAAACAAAATAACCCAGACGTGGTGGCACATGCCTGTAGTCCCAGCTACTTAGGAGGCTGAGGTGGGAAAATCACTTGAACCTGGGAGATCAAGGCTTCAGTGAACTTGAGCATGCCACCGCACTCCAGCCTGGGCAACAGAATTAGGTATTGTCTCAAAAAACAAACAACAACAACAAAAGTATACACTAGGGAAAATGAGAAAATTATTAAACGAATTATGTTAAATTTCTTTTGAAAGTCTATCAGTATTTTTTAGTACCACTTATAGGTCATGTACTCTGTTAGAGTGGTCATTTAAAATTGCTGTTATAATAAATCAGATTTTTATATAGTCTTCAGCCCCTCCCTCATTGATTTCTCACAAAAAACACTGGAATGTTTTTCCCAGTGTAAGAATAAAATAAGTGTGGAATGTTAAGTATTACCTACACAACAGAGCCAGTTGCCACAGAGTAAAAGCTTGCATTGCTTTTGACATACTTTCTAATTTCCTGTTCTGGTAATAGCACTAATGTCAGAGAAGGAAACCATTAATTAAAATGAAACTTTATAGAATGTGTGAATGACATCTTTATCAGATGAATAAAAGTATATATATTAACATTGTCATCTCAACAAAAAAATTGACAAACTACGTAACTCATTATAATAAGTGTAATCTCTTTTTTAGTACTGTTAAAATTGACATTACAATTTGAAAATAAATACTTCCAAACTAAAAAGAAAAAGTTAATCTCATCCCAAAATACCCCACAGACACACCCAGAGTAATATTCAACCAAATATTTGGGCACCCTCTGGCCCAGTCAAGTTGACACATAAAATTAACCATCCCAGGAAATGTGTGCTTCCCATGTCTGCAACTTTAGTGTTTGTGAGTCAGGAAGTTTTGACTGACTTGATTATCATAAACAGGTAGGACTGTTGCTATATAATGGAGCAGAAAGGAATATTTTTGGCACTTAGGTTCCCTATTTCCTTGAAGAGAACTTAAGACTTAGATTAGGGTGCAGATCATTTACTAACAAACTACTCCTCAGGAAAATTTTTAAGGGGAGTGAAATAGGATAGGACTTAGAAAAGAGCCAAGCAGGATGTGAACTCAGTTCAAGTCTGGTATTAGCCATTATCACAGGGAGAGGGTTATAGAGCATAGACATTACACAGAGTTCTTTCCTTTTATTAAGGGGCTGGCCTTTTGTAACCCCTATCAGTCAGTCCCTGGGGGTTGAGTATAGACTACTGGGGGTTGTGGATAGGCATAATTTTCTAGGTGAGGAGGCTACAGACACCTGAGGACAATTCTTCAGAGAAGGGGGCAACTGTGAGCTCTTAGTAGTCAGCTGGAGAAGGGGCACCGGTTCAGTAAATGGGACCTGGATGAGGCACCAGAACAGTGTCTACCATAACAACGGAACAACTTACGAAGATCTGTCAGAGAATAGATAGCAGCTGCTTGTACTGTGTCTTTGTGAAGATGGCCTGGGCTGTGCATATTGGAAGGCAGAGTAGGGAAAGGCCTCCCTGTCATCTGTCTAGTAGTTATAGCCTGCTGTTGGCAGCATAAGGGCTGTGCTTAGTTGGCTCTGAATGCATAGGGATGTAGAACACATACTAGGGAATAATGAAGAGCTCTCATCTTTAAGAAGGGTATCATAAAGAGATAAATGGACATTAGTAAGCAAGCACTTCCTAAATAAAGTCATGACTTAGAAATGTCCCAAACATAAAAATGGTAGGTTTGCATACTACTACCTACTACCACTCATTTCAAATCCACCATTTCCCCTATACAACTTGATAAAGCTATCTTGATGGCACTATTTACCAGTGCAAAGTGTTTCTCCCACCCATTCTTATTATGACCTTCATTTACTGTCCACATAATAGTTAATTTTTTTTTTTTTTTGAGATGGAATTTCACTTTTGTTGTCCAGGCTGGAGCATAGTGGTGCAATCTCGGCTCACCGCAACCTCCGATTCTCGGCTTCAAGCGATTCTCCTGTATTAGCCTCCCGATTAGCTGGAATTACAGGCATGCGCCACCATGCCTGGCTAATTTTTTGTATTTTTAGTAGCAACGGGGTTTCTCCATATTGGTCAGGCTGGTCTCAAACTCCCGACCTCAGGTGATCCACCCGCCTCGGCCTCCCAAAGTGCTGGGGATTACAGGCGTGACCCACCGTGACTGGCCTGTTAATTTTGCTTTAGGAAATTTCTTCTTCATACGTATGCCCTTCTTTTCTCTCTTTGTGCCCTTCTCTCTTTCTCTGCCTGATCATGTTTCTACACCCTCCACAAAAAGTACTTATCAGGGAGCACTGGAAATGGTTTGGACTTGATGACATCATCAGAAAGTGTATGTTCGTTACCAAAACCTGTTTTAAAAAGTTCTAGTGCAAAGACACTTCAGACAAGATTAAGTTTCTTACACATAGTGATGGTTCTTGACCCATTCTACCTCTTAGTTGTAAGAATTTAAATTCTTTAATAACTATGCAGTTCTGTGACTACATGCATTGAGGAAATGCCACTAGTTTTTTTTTTGTTTTTGTTTTTGTTTTTTTTTTTGAGACAGAGTCTCGCTCTGTTGCCCAGGCTGGACTGCAGTGACCGGATCTCAGCTCACTGCAAGCTCCGCCTCCCGGGTTTACGCCATTCTCCTGCCTTAGCCTCCCGAGTAGCTGGGACTACAGGCGCTCGCCACCTCGCCCGGCTAGATTTTTGTATTTTTTAGTAGAGACGGGGTTTCACCGTGTTAGCCAGGATGGTCTCCATCTCCTGACCTTGTGATCGGCCCGTCTCGGCCTCCCAAAGTGCTGGGATTACAGGCTTGAGCCACCGCACCCGGCCGGAAATGCCACTAGTTTTAAGGATCCTGAGATAATATAACAGGGAATATTAAAGGCAATTCACATTCTTCATACTTAGTCTCTGTTTCCTGGCTTCTGCCTCTGATTATCTGGCCTCTATCACATAGCTACCTTAAAAAGCCTTCCAGTTCATTCCCAGAAGCTCAGCATAGAGCTAGCCCTTTAGCAGCCTGCCTAATGGGCTAATCATGGCTCTCTTAGTCATTCTTACCTGTGAAAAGTCTAATCACTTGGTCTACAAAGTCTAAATTTTAAGGAACCATCCTTTACTGGTATTACTTCTCTTAATTGCAGACATTGCTCCCAGAAGAAGATAAATATCCTCTGAAATTTTAACTTTGCAAACTCAATCCTAGAAAGTAACAGTAAATAAATTTTATGCATGGATTTAGAGATTGTATATTACCTTTATTTTGACATTAAAAATTTTTAAACCAAATTTATAATCCAATATGTCTTAGATTACTGTGGGGTTAAGCATATTTTATTTTATTTATTAGCTGTTCATATTCTCCAGAGCTAGCCTGGTCTCAGATCCACTTTCAGAAGTCCCAGAAACAGTCCTCTTTGAGTTAGGAGTAAGGGTGAGAAAACCCAACAAGGGGACTTTAGGAAAACAGAAAGAGGGTATGATGAGGTGATTGGAGGGAAAAAGGGGGAGGGAACTTCCCTGGCCCCCTTCCCAGCCCTGGCCTTCTCTGAGGTGACCCTTAAAAAAAATGGCATTAGTAAGATAAATAAATACTAAAATACTGGCGTTATGATTTTGCTACAGTATTTCAGTCACTACATAGACTGAAATAATTAACTTGTTCAGCCTCAGGAATTGTGGCAACTGTAGCTACTAAAACCTTTATTTTGGTATTAAAGTGTGGAAATCAGAGAACTGCTTAATTAAATAATTGATTTGTACTCAAGCTGCCTTTTGATTTAGACTCCCCCCTCTGCTGCCCACCCCAATAAACACAGAAGGCTTTATTTACTGAATTTTCAGTAAAGAGACATCGTGTAGGGGGTTCAGGATTTCATTTTAATGTTACCAGCATTTTTAGATGTATACAGACACCAATATCATACGATTGCCGTTATTTTGTAGCTATTAATTAAAAATATAAAGTATAATTTTCATACCATTAGTAATTAGAAGTGATATCTTTAATCATGCACAGATGTTCTTTTGGCTATGCTTATAGTTTCTAGGGAAGTTACTCTGATAGTACAACAGATGATTAACTTCAGTTGTGTATAAAGGTGGTACACTAAAATAGGACAAGTGAAATCTATTCTGTTGACCCATCTCAAAAGAACTGCTTCTTCGGTCTTTCCTAATAGGCACAATTATGTCCATTTTCCCCTCTTGCCTCTTATAAATCTATAACAAATTTAAAAAATAACAGTGCTGTCACACTTTCTGTTTTACTTTTGGTAAAAATGCTTGCAATATCTACCTCTATGAGCTGAAATTACTGTCACTATCTATAACCAATATTTAATAAGCTTTTATATTCCATAGGGTTTAGAATCTCGATAACTGCTTGAGAATATTAAGACCCCCAATTATGAGAGCATTTTTGTTTACCTCGTAATTTTTAGACCTATCAGTCTTTTTAGGAGAGTTTTAATCTTGTTTGTGGTTTTTTTTTGAAACTTGAGCTTTTGAGGAGCCAAAATGTCTTCCTCCAAGGGAATACACACTGATTGTTTTTTTGTTGTTGTTGTTGTTAAATCTCAGATATGTTTAATTTCTCCTACATAATCAATGGCCTATTAAATTGTAACTTGGAATTCTTGCAGGCAGTAGAAAATCCAGTTCTATTGTGCTGAATTTTCAAATATTTCAGCCTCAGCCACTCATCAGGAATTTTCTAATGTATGTCTTATTGATCTGCTTGTTCTAGACTGACATTTTCTGAAGAGGCTGGGGATGTGATTTGTGATTATGGGGAGCAGGATACTTATAACAAGGCCAAGTGCCTGGCTTTAGCTCAGATTATCTACAGTGAATGTGGCCTGCACAAGAAAGCTATTCTTTGCTTGTGTAAACAGGGTCAGACTCATAGGGTCATGGAGTACATACAGCAGTTCAAGGACTTTACTACCGGTAAGTTAAAATGTCTGCCATTTGTATACATTTGAATTCTGGACTTTAATTGTAAAATTACCCATGATAGCAGGCACTACTTTAAACTTACGTTATAAAATCAATTTTATATATACCAATAAGTGGGAAATTTCTTTTGTAATTTTTCATGAACACAGGTAAGCTGGAGCCGATTGGCTTTCATGCTAGATGTTCAAAAATATTATGTATTTCCTCAAAATAAAAACATTTAATAAACCAGATAGTCCTGGAAATATACAGTTTTAAAGATAAATTTATACAGAGTAGAATACTACATATGTGATTTTTAAAAATAACTTATTTGTAATATTTTATTTTATTTTTTATTTATTTATTTTTTGAGACAGAGTCTCACTCTGTTGCCAGGCTGGAGTGCAGTGGCGTAATCTTGGCTCACTGCACGCTCCATCTACTGGGTTCACGCCATTCTCCTGCCTAAGCCTCCCAAGTAGCTGGGACTACAGGCACCCGCCACCACGCCTGGCTAATATTTTGTGTTTTTAGTAGAGATGGGGTTTCATTGTGTTAGCCAGGATGTTCTCTATCTCCTGACCTCGTGATCTGCCCACCTTGGCCTCCCAAAGTGCTGGGATTACAGGCGTGAGCCACCGCGCCCAGCCTGTGATATATTTGAAGTGTAATATAAGCATTAGAAATGAAGAATTTCTAATTTATTTCAAAATTTTAAAACACAATTGAGCAGTAATCTGAGATTACAATTGAGCAGTCATCTAAGAGAACTGTGGACCTTAGGGTGACCCTAGCTGGATGAGCAGATCTCTTACTCTGGATCTAGTTTGGCAATAACTCTGAGTACAGGCATTGCTGACATCTCCCCATCTCCCAGGCCACTGCCCGTCCTGATTTGCAGGCTGTGTATCCCAGTTCTAAGAAGATGCAAAATGGAACCAAACATAGCTGTTTTAGGTCACATTCTTCCAGGAAAAAGGAGTTTTAGTGGTTGTTGAATCTGGTCATTTTCAAGCAATTAATTGACTTTTTCTTAGAATCTATATTTTTTTTAAGTTACAAATTTCTTCGTTAATAGCAGCATGCCCTATACTATTATTGTAATAATAGCTAGGCTTTTTTCCATGGATTATCTCACTTAATCCTTATTTTGACTCTATGAGGTAGATTTTGTTATTGTCTCATTTTATAGATGAAAAAAACAGTATGTTTCCATACAGAGGCTAAGGCACAGCTAGAGGTAAGTGATTTGGTTGTGTAGTGACAGGACAGAATCTGGCATAGTAGGTATTAGTTAATATTCCATTACCTAAGTATACAGTTTCAGTTTCTGTGTTGTTAACTATTGTTTTTCCATAGGTAAGAATTATATTAGTTAATGTTTAGACATGGGATATAGATTTTAATTACTTTTAGAATTTAAAAATTTTAGGGATAGGATCTGTAGTCCCAGCCACCCAGGAGGCTGAGATGGGAAGATCGCTTGAACCCAGACATTCTAGGCTGCAGTGAGCTGTGATTGTGGCACTGCATTCCTGCCTAGGCATAAGAATGAGACCTTATCCCATAATAATAATAATAATTTTTTAAAAAGAAAATGGATTTTGAAATGTAGTAAGCGAAAGGGATATGAGGAGTTCAAGACCAGCCTGGGGCAACATAGTGGGACCCTGTCTCTATATATTAAATACATTTTAAAAACCCAAAGCTTTCAGAGTTAAATTATGTTTATGGTAGTTCTTGAAAGGCTCTCAAAGTTATTCTGAAAATTACCTCTATTGTGGCCCCAAAATAATATTTTTACTTAAAAAAATTTAGGAAGTTAATACAAAGTTTACAAATTTGGGACTATAGAGTGGGGCACGGTGGTGCATGCCTGTAGTCTCAGCTATTGGGAAGGCTGAGGCGGGAGACTGCTTGAGCCCAGGAGTTTGAGGATATAGTACACAACCATTATGCCTATGATGAGTGATGCACTCCAGCCTGGGCAGCACAGTGAGACTTTGTTTTGAAAAAATTTAAGAATACAAATCATAATTGTAGCTTTAGATTACCTCAGTGGTTAACTAGTAGATTAACCCATATGGAATTGGTTTTTTTTGTGGTCAAATATAGGCAACTTCATATGGCTCCACCTCTAGCTACTTGAAATAGCTAATGGCTTCTTAAAGTTTTCATTTTTGAATTTCTAAATACTTGATAGTTTTAGGAAAAAAATTACTGAATTGCATTTTCTGTGCAAGGCACAGAAAGACATTATACTCAGCAGAATTTGGTCCAAATATGAGCAACAAGATATAGACAAACAAACTGTAGTATTAGATGGAACCTTCGAAATTATCTCCACTTCGGCCAGGCACGGTGGCTCACGTCTGTAATCCCAGCACTTCAGGAAGCCGAGGCGGGCGGATCACAAGTCAGGAGATCGAGACCATCCTGGCTAACATGGTGAAACCCCGTCTCTACTAAAAATACAAAATATTAGCCAGGCATGGTGGCGGGTACCTGTAGTCCCGGCTACTTGGGAGGCTGAGGCAGGAGAATGGCGTGAATCCGGGAGGCGGAGTTTGCAGTGAGCCAAGATCACACCACTGCACTCCAGCCTGGGCGACAGTGAGACTGTCTCAAAAA